GACTATGCTAACAAGCCACTTGATTTTATTGCATATAAAACACATTTTACGAGAATCTCCTAAAAATTTCTCCTATATTCTGTAAAGAGAGGCCAACAGCAAAGTACTTACCTTTTTATCATTGCCTCTTTACAATTAGGAGCGTAATACGAGGAGGAGATTTTATAATCGGAGGGTTGGCATTTTTCTCAATCTGCAATAAACTCAGCTTTATTAATATAAGGGGCAGAGCGTTGGAATATAATTTAAAGTATCAAAAAGTGCAAAATTAATAAACGGGTGTATTCAATTAGCTTGAGGATTCGCAATATTTGCTAAAAAATGAAATGTTCTTCAATGTTTATTAGACAGGTATGTGTTCACAGAAATGCTGCTGTTTTCAGCGATATCTTCAACGCTTTTTTCTGCTATTTATTCAAGTCAATTACGTGACAATGGCAAAAAAAAAACATTTTGGGACAAAATTCTCAAGAATATCCTGATTTTCCTAACTTCTACGTAGATCGAAATGGAGTTATTACCACTACAATAATTTGAAAAATAATCATTACCACCCACACAATAACTGTTAGGATATTACGGTAGATCTACTGCCCAGAATGCACTATTGACCAGCATATACACAACACACGTGGCTTGCCGAGTAAGTTGAATGTTGACTTCAATATATATATTCTATCCTTAATATAACCCATAAATATAGCATGAATTAAGATTATATTGTTAATCACACACACACACACATACACACACATGAGCGAAAGACCAACAAAACTCTTTGTAACATCAAAGATGAACTGAAGCCATGGATTATGGCAGCTTTCACCAACTTAAACAAAGAGACTGTCCAGAAGAGTTGCAGGAGATTCCAGAAGCGGTTGGAGGCCGTAGTTGAAGCCACTGGGGATTTTAATGAATAAATTTACTCTTTAGTATTTCAAGATATTTTGTTTAATCTTGGTAAATATGTTAAAATGAGATGTCAGTGTTAATTTTATTTTTTTATATATTTTTTTATTTTTTCGTAATTTAGACGACAATTTATCCATCGCACTCTCTCTCTCTATATATGTATGTGTGCATATATATATACATATGTGTGTGTGTGTGTGAGTGTGTGTGTGTGTATCTGCACTGATTAACTAAAGGAAACGAGCATGACCATATGAAATTTATCCATCGCATCTTGTGTATATATATATATATATATATATATATATATATATATATATATATATATATGCATACACACACCGCGTTTATTTATATATATACATATGCATACACACATACAAACACAGACACACACATATATATATATGTGTGTGTGTGTGTGTGTATGTGTGTGAGAAAGAGATTTATTCATAAATACGACTCATGCCAGTATGACAGTATGGTTTTATATTTTGTTTTACTGACCTACAGGATTTATTAATTCTTTCCTAAGAAATTTCCTACCCTTTCACTACAAATACTAGTGTGTGCGTATGTGTCATGTGTGTGTTTCTACGTGTTTACTTATTGTTTTGCATTCTGAATCGTAATTGGAACATTGCACATTTCATAAATAAATATTTTTTCACCCAGAATTTATAAGATTGACATTATTGGTACATGTGATCGACAAGTTTATATGTGCGTTCGATAAATCTATTTATTTCACAATTTTTGATCAGACAAGAATGTAAACGGCAATGTGAATACATGAATGATCGCCTATATATATATATATATATATATATATATATATATATATATATTCTACCTGGATTCTATCCTCTTGGAATTTTTTTTATTCAGAAAAATATATGTATGTGTATGCATGTATATATATTTATATATTTTGCATATGTATGTGTATATTTCCCACTAATATTATCTATCTATCTATCTATATATATATATATATATATATATATATATATATATATATATATATTCTACCTGGATTCTATCCTCTTGGAATTTTTTTATTCAGAAAAATATATGTATGTGTATGCATGTATATATATATATTTATATATTTTGCATATGTATGTGTATATTTACCACTAATATTATCTATCTATCTATCTATCTATCTATCTATCTATCTATCTATATATATATATATATATATATATATATATATATATATATATATGAACAGTATTTAGTGAAGAACGGGGATTGGTAGATTATACATGACCTTTTCGGCGTTGGCGGCTTTTTGAGTTTGAGAAGTCAACGAAAAAAAAAAACAGTTCGTAAATATCTGTATATACTTGGCGCTCAATGTTTGTGACAAAACGATTACAGATGACCGAGGTTAGATATATAGAGCAGAAGTTTAAAGACCGGCTTCTTTGATGATAAAAAAACGTTTGGTAAAGAACAAACTCTAATATATATGTTGTATAATCTAAGCTGTCAAGCTTCATAACTAGATTTACAGGAGAAGAATGGGGTCAGCCGTGAGGGGCATCAAGCTGAATCTAGCTTCAGCAAGAAAATGAAAATCTTAGACTAAAGAAAGATTTCCATGTTTGCCTCTTGATTAAACAAATACGTTTAAAGAATTAACTATAAAAAATCTTTATTTTATATAATCAATATATCATTGTCATCATACTTATTATAAAACCCAGGTTGTGAGTGTGTGTCTTTACGTTATGTCTTATATTGGATCGAATTTCCTACATTTTTCAACCGAATTCAACAAAACTTCACAGGACTATGTAAAATTACCTTGCGGTGGTTCTGACAGTGCCAAAAAATTGGAAAAACACAATTGTTTTGCACAAAATCAATTTGAAAACATGATTAAGAGTCATCGCGAGAATGAAAGGGGGACAACTCATATCGAGTTATACTTATTATAAAACCCAGATTTTTTTGTGTGTGTCTGTGTTCGTTTATATATGGGATCGGATTTCCTACATTTTTCAACCGATTTCAACAAAACTTCACTTTATTTGGCAGGTAGTGTATTTTTATTGTCTTGCACACTTTTTTCTTTATTTTTACATTCAGAATGGTTTAAAAATTCCATTTACAAGACATTTATTTATAATAAAATTATATTCAATCGATAGATTCATAACGATTGAAAACAATGTTTTTGTTTGAGTTTGGGTTTGACCAATTCGTAAAAAAAAATAATTAAGACATGCGTGTCAGTCAACCTTAAATAATAATCTTTGTCAATTTTATTTTTCAGTCTTTATGATGGCCGATACTTGATCTATCTCTTACTGTTACATCCCCGGGCAACGCCGGGCTCTACTGCTAGTTTAGCATATAAAGCACTTCCTCATTTAACATCTTATCTGATTAACGACCATCGGACGAAAAACGAGCTATGAATTCTCAAAGGAAAAAAAAAATTGAATTGTACGTTGTGCAAAATTTTGATTTCTTGTTTTTTTGTTAAAAATTATTGAAAATAAATAAAACAAATAAATAATAAATAAATTGCAATTTACTTATACAGTATTTACAACATGCAAACGGAGTATTGTACAGAATATAGAGCTTATTTTTACTCTGTTTATTATTTTGCACTTTCCAAAGTTGCCACCCACTGTGATCATCGCTCCTAGACTAATTTCGGTACTCTACTGTACTCTATGAACAATAAGAAATAAATTAGAAATGTTAAAATGCTGAAAAACTGACATTAAATCTATTTTAAGCTGGTCGGCACAAACACATTACACGTAGATATTTACTCAGGTCATGTTGTGACACAAGGTCGGTTTAATGTGTGGAGCCCGAGCGCATGCACCCAGGCAAAGAACAAAAATTCCCCGAGTCACTGCAACCGTCGATTGCGCTGGCCTCGGTGCGAGCACCGATCCCTCCCTCTGATACAATTGGGGGCGCGGCCTTGGGCAACTATTCCCCAGGGCTGGGCACCTCTTCAGTATAATTTTCCTCAGTTGTGACTCTGTCCTTTGACGGAGTCGCTTCTGAGTGAGCTCTGCCCAAAGACAGAGACGCAACTGAGAGATGATAAGTAGATGTGTACCTACTCAAAAGAGTAAGGTACGCAAACACATTACACGTATAGTACGTCTGAAATAGCGGTTCGTGTAAACTTCTAACTTAACGACCTATTTGTTCAGATCCAGGTCGTTAAATAAGGATGATCTACTGAATGATTATTCCCGTCATCTTCAAAACAGAAAAATAGAATAAATTATCGCATGCAAGACAAATGTACAGAATGAAACAAAATATGTGTTTGTGCGTTCAGAATATATTTTCCTAAATAATACGCAGACAAGAAAAATGAATTCTGATCTGATTTTTTCATTGTATTATGTTAGTTTTATGAGTTTAATTGTAATGTATTGTTTTAAAAACTTGACAAAGAAGGCAATTATGTTGAGAATAAAACTACTTATTGTCTTAAATTCTTTTTTTAAGCTTTAGCCATCTGATTCATGCAGGAATCTAGTTTTCCGACATTTCTTGACATTCCTCTCATATTTAGATTTCGATATTAAATTCACGTATTTTATTTTAAAGAAATCTCTTTTCAAACATAATTTCAATTTATTTTTTTTTTTTATTAGAAAAGAGTTTACCGGAGCATTTTATTCAAACCAAAATTCTTATTTTAATTTTAAAAAAATCGCTGTACTTCCCGTTAGAAGCAATTTCTAAACTATATATAAAATTCAGTGACATCCGTTAGTCCGTACTTCGCATCCTCTAAAATAACCAAACATTGACCGATGGAAAACAAATTTTGGGGAGAGGTGCAAACAATGAAGTGGATACAAATTACAATATGTTTTACAAGGATGCGTAGCTTAGGACTATAATTTAATTAAATGTTTTATTATTTATGCGTTCAGAATAATACGCAAACAAGTAAAATGAATTCATTGTGTGCGACTTTGAAAAGAATTATAAACACATCCAGCATTGTTCGAAAAAACAAAGCCCTTCTCTTCTTAGAGATGTCCTTGGTACCATAAGAATTCGTTCAACTCAAGCTTGAGACGTAAATCGTATCACCGTTTCTCGTACGATCACCGAAGTTAAGCAGCGTCGAGTTTAGTCCGTACCTAAATGGGTGACCGCTTCCGAATACCAGGTGCTGAAAGCTTGGATGTGCGGATGGTGTACTGGGTAACAAATCAAAATTGAAAATCGGACAGCTGAGCTCTAGTTCCAGTCAAGTTTGCTATGTTTAATTACTTACTATTTTCAGAGACACACACACAGACACACAAACACACACGCACAAACACACACACATATATATTTAAGATAATGAGTGTCGCGACTAGGTAATATGAATCAGCGAGCCGAGTACGAATTCATGCCAAGCTACTTACGTTCACTTTTGCAAAATACATACATTCTCCCTCCAGCTATGGGTTAAGTAATATGGCCCACTTCCCATGATATGCCAATCTAGCCTCCAAACGCTCTGAATTCAAAACCTGCTTGAAGACGACTAGGCCCAAACAGGTTTTCTTACCTGACACAAAAATTACAAGGACTACATTAAATGTGATGCCCATACACCCCAAATTTCTTACTGAACTCGTGACCATTATATATATATATATATATATATATATATATATATATATATATATATATATATATATGGGTCCTCTTTTTCAAATACGAGTATTCTCTATAATAACGTTTGAAATAATAAGAATGATGGATTAAAAATAATTACATTAATTCTTTAGAAAGTGCTTTTTTTTTAAGTTTCGGATGCGAAACAGAGCAGATATTGCTTTCAAGAAAAATATATTAGTCACTAAGTAAGCTTTTCTAAAAAGATGGGAAATGGATTCTTGCTGCACTGCAACGTTTTTCGTAACCAGGCAATAAAGCACACCTGATCAAATGGTCGTCTTTCCGGGAAATGGAGACGCTGGTTTGATTCCTGCCGGACAGCACATTCTCTTTCTTGAGATTTCTCAAATGCGAAGGGCGATAGTCGTGATACACGCTGTTTGCATTAAAAATTTAAAAATGCTGCCTTTATTTCAGATATGTGTATCAAATATAATAACGTCTTAAATAATATATATATATATATATATATATATATATATATATATATATAAAACTTAAAAAGCTATTATGCTATATATATATAATATATATATATATATATATATATATATTATTACTTAAAACGTTATTACACAACATATATATTATATATATATATATATAACTGTACTAACTGTCATATTTAATAGAGCTTGCATGAAAAATTGCTGGCTAAGTATACAATATATATATATATATATATATATATATATATATATATATATATATATATTGTATATTTCTGAATGAAGCAATTACAGACCTTATTTCTGCTTATTTTTATCATATTCCTTTCATATATATAAGTAATTGATACATACAAATAGTTTTTTGCCTTACCAGTTTCTCTCCTGATGATGATCTCAGAAATGGATGGAAAGTAATTGGGAAATAAAAATGATCCTCACTTTTACGGTGTATTTCTTGCATAATTTAATTATAATATACGGAAAAATATTCGTGAATATGAAAGGATTATGATAAAAATCAACAGGCATATTTGCAATTTACTCAATTAGACATGCCTAAAAGAGAATTTGCTGCCTAAACAAGCACACACATCATGAATATATATATATATATATATATATATATATATATATATATATATATATATATATATATGAAAAAATATACTGAAAAAACAAACAAAAATCCTAATATGCGATTATGCTGTTTTAATGTTTAATGTCAACGTCGGACGTTTCGGTTAATAGACCATCTTCAGGACATATTCGAAAACATAATTAACATGTTTTATGAATATGTCCTGAAGAAGGTCTATTAGACCGAAACGTCCGACGTTCACACATTAAACATTAAAACAGCATAATCGCATATTAGGATTTTTGTTTTTTTTTTCAGCATATTTTTCTTCATACTGTCGGATCTATATCCATATATTTTACATATATATATATATATATATATATATATATATATATATATATATATATATATATATATATATAACCAGAACGTTTAAGTTTAGAACTGAACCGCAGTATTTCCCAGTGAGACCATTTGATTATATTTCCCAGTGAGACCATTTGATTATGTTGAGGGATTCTGTAGAACCCGCCCCACGTAACTGAAAGAGCTGGTAACACCTGAGGCTTGAATTCAGAGTTTTCTTAATGACCGGACTAACATCCTACGCAAAACAGTTCAATTTTTCATGCTATTTAAAGCGGAAGATGAGTTCATGCCTACATCCATTCTCTTCCCACAAGACAGCTACATGAATGTAGACTTTTGCCAATCTGGGCGAAGACTAAGTTAAATATAAAAAAATGCTGATCAGTTAAGTAGAATCCACATTGCATCATTGAGATAAAAAACGAATATTTGTATATATTTTAAAAGGCAATTATAATAAGAAAATTACGTTATTTTTTATTCATATATTTTAGAAATCTTTTCATATTAAGCTTTTTCTTCTCATACGCACGTTTTCTATTATATATTATTACCGTTAATAAATTTACTATTGATAATGAATGTGATTAACATACCCCAAAAGATGAGTCTATCAGGGTATGCCGCTGTGGGAGTTTCGGTATTGGAGGTAGACGTGTTGGCAGAGAGTCTTCCGAACGAAGCCAGGCTGGATAAGTCTAGTAAGTAATGGACAAGGACTTTAGTATGAAGTAGACTTTCGGATGTGGGGGAAAAGACATAAAAGTTAGCGTAATGTAAAAAAAAATATTCGTACTATAACAAACGATTGTACATGCGTGTGATTATTCGATTATAGCCATGCATATACACAAAGAGAAAACGATTTTAAAATATATAAAAATAGGGGAACATTATTTTAGAATAATCAAAATTTATTAGATTAATCTCATTTTCAAACCGAGTGAGAAGAAACTGAAACTTTTGTTGATACGAACTTCTTAGATTTGGAATATTTGGCAAACAGATTTCTTATTATTTCGATTAAAATTATTCGAATATCTCTGGAAACAGAATATGGCATATTTAAATTTATACTTCAAATTAATAAAATTAGCAATGACAAAAGCCAGCCAAAAATGTTATTCCATTATTCCGTTTTGAAAGAATAAGGACAAAAATAACCTTATTAGTAACTAAATTAGAATAACAAAGATCTCCTGGTTAAAGTCAGTTGAATCCATTATTCCCAGTTGGGCTCAGTTTAGTCGCCGGGCCCTCGCTGGGTAATGCACTTCTCCTGTCAAATACAACAACGCATAAAAATATGCACCTCAAATCACCTTGCAAATTTTACAGAGACTAATAACAACAAAAATTTTCTTGTAAAATCTTCAAATTTACGGAGATTCGTTTACATTTATAAATTCTCTGTCCTTGAACTCAATATGTCAATTAATTATGCAACATGAAAAATATTTCCCTGAAAAGTATAAAGACAAAATATATATAAATAAGTAATGCGTTTTGTTAAAAAAAATGAGTTTCCGGGAATTGATTGTTCCAGAATGAGGTTCCAGAAATTACGCGCCAGGATCTCGTCTCGTCAGCTTATAAGAACCATGTTATACAGTTTTATTAAAAAAAAAAGTGAACCGATTTCAAGATAAATTGCTCAAGCTGTCAAGTTCTCAAGCATCTTTATGGAATGAGTTAGTGACCATCTGAAAGAGGAGTTTTCTATGTTTTGGTCACGTCATATCTCCGGCAACGTTTAATTGTTTGTTTACTCCAGGAATGGCGAGTCCTCAGCAAAAGGCGTTCTGCGTCCTCGAGTTCGCGAAAACAAATACGATTGTCACGGTGCAGCGTACATTTCGAAGGAAATTCGACATTAACCTGCCCTCTCCTAAGAACTATCGACGGTGTTTTAAACAGTTTCAACAAAATGGGTGTCTGTGTAAAGGAAAAATCCATGAATACCACGAGCTTTGGAGGAACAAGTTCAAAAACCAAGTCAGCTGTGAACTTGCGATCTCTCAATCTACTTTCTGGCTTGAGCTAAGAAGACGTCTACATTGTTAACGTTACAGACTACGCTTCGTTCAGACACTTAGACTATGATACTTGGGCTTGGCCCGCGAGATCTCTAGACCCCCACCTTGTGTGATTTTTTCTTGTGGGGACACGAAAAAGTTCGCGTTGATGTTTCAACGATACCTACTAACCTCGATGAGCTTAAACATCGAATAATAACAGCAATCAACTCAGTGGATCGTGATATGTTGATACGCGTCTGGGAGGAAATCTCTTCTCGCATTGATATTGTCGTGTTGCATATGGTGGCCAGATTGAACAATTGTAAGACAGGAAATAAAAGTTGATTGTAAGTAGAATACTTGTGAGTTGGCTGGAGGATTCTATTGCATTTCCTTATTAAAATATTGCGAAATGAAATCAGTTCATTCTTCTTTAATAACTCTGTATATATAACTCAGGTGGTTCCAATATTCAAATTGTTTTATCTTCAAATAATCCATATTATCTGCTCTGATACTGCATATTGAGAATGGTTTTATGGAATAGAAAGGTCAAGAGCAAAGACATTTATTTTATATATATATATATATATATATATATATATATATATATATATATATATAGTGATTTTCCAAGTGTTGCTTAGTTGTGGCACAAGGCCGAAAGCATGGGGCACCCAGTGAGGATCGAACTCACTATTCAGTTGTAACCGTTTTAGCGACAGAAGCTTGCTAACTATTACACCACGCCGAGGTGCCATAATAGTGATTTTCCAAGCGTAGCATCGATGTGGAACAAGGCGGAAAGTAGGGGCATCTAGTGAGGATCGAACTCAGGCGTAATTGTTCTAGCGAGACAAGCATGTTAACCATTATACCGCCCCTCCCCATATATATATATATATATATATATATATTATATATATATATATATATATATATATATATATATATATATATATATATATATATATATATATATATATGTGTGTGTGTGTGTGTAGGGTGTGTGTGTGTGTGTGTGTAGATTAAAACCTAACGGCGAGGCAGTCTTTCCTATGCTTAAGCTTAAAACAGATTGCTGCCGT